CTCATTCTAAGATTGAATATTAATGATTTGAGGAACTAACCTAAAATATTTTTGCTAATATTTTAAATCACAAGATCAGACATAGAATTTGCACTTTCTCTGTATAAACACGCGTTTTTTTATTGATAGATTTGGATTCTTAACCCTCAAAAAATTGGGAAGTAGCCGCAATTTAGACCACAAGAGTTTAGGAAGGAAAGCGTTCGAAAGTTTCATCCAATATTTGTTTTGTAGTCAACTAAATAATTTGCTAATCGAAGCATTTTTGCACAAATTAGTTTATTAAAAAATAATTCTATGCAAGAAATATTTTTTTATAATAACTTAATATTTCATTGTTTATTTCATTATTAATTATAAGACATACAAATTTTTACAACATTCGTCACTGTTAACTAAAATGTAACTAATTTTCAAATGTCAAAATCCAAAATTTGAGCGGAATCGATCAAATAGTTCTTGAGAGATAAACATTTAAAAATGCGACTTTTAAAAAAAATATATTTTTATTTTTAGTGTGAAAAGAAAGAAATTCGGAAATAAGCATTGAGGAGGCAGAACTTTCGACCACTGTCCTGAATAAACAATGAGAATGATTTTTCAGCCGCTCCCATATGTGACAATCCGCTCCGTGGATCAAAAGTTATTTAATTTAGAGCTATACTACAGTTTTACCTCAATCGAAAAATGGAACTGTCCTTTTAAAATGACGCCACGAACAAATAGATTAAATTTAAATATTCATTTCTGGTTTCTTTAATTTAAAAAAAAAAATCCATAAGTATTTTGTATCATCTATACTAGAACTGATTTTAAAGTCAACTTCAATGATGTATCGGTATTTAGTCACGTACATAACATGCAATTTCATTTTGCCATTCAACCTGAAATTCTAACACAATGCAAAGAAAAGTTGGATCTGCAATTTGGCGTGCAAATTTCTGTACATGATTCTTCCTTTCGTGCGCTGAGTCACGTATCTATTGGAGAACACTACTGATTATTCGTTTTCAAGCATCGGTTGATATTGAAATATTTAATTGTGTCACTTTTATTACGTGGAATTATAAAGTCCATGAAAAAAGAATCTTTTATTTTTTCGTCATCGACAGGTTCTTTAAACAACGATCATATTCAAATTCTGACCAAATTATTTTATTTAGAGCTTAATACGCTCTAAGCATTTCCTGCCTTAAAACTCTCAAATCCTACGCAAAGATATAGTATGATTTGATATTTGATGATGTGATATTTTAAAAAAAGAAGCCCAAAATGTGTCTTGTAAAACTTTAAGGCAAATTTGGGCCTCTTTTTTTTCTTTTTGTTCTTGCAAACATGTATCTTTTAATTGGAAATAAAAATCGGAATTTGTTGCCTAGTTTAGAAGCCAAAGGTCCTTTTATAAAGTATGTATTTGGAATGAGGGGATCACAAACTTCTACAGGATGCGTAGCGTTTTTAAAAAGTGCTTAAAGATGCTTATTTTTGATTTACGTTTTTAAAAAGCCTTTATAGGTGCTTTTTTTATTCGGGGTTTGTAAAAAGTGCTTTATTTTCTATCTTTTAAAAAGAGATTTTTTCTTTGCCGTTGCGATTGTCGTTTTAAATTGCAAGAAATGTACGACTTTCACAATTTTCTCTGCAATATTTATCAGAAACTAGCTATGTAAAGTTTTTGAAAACGATTTTAAATTTCATTCATATTACGTTTATAAATTAAGAATTTTCAACGATAAATTTTTTTTTTTATTGCTGCACAGATCCTAATTATGAATTTAATTTTTTTCGGAAAGTGATTAAAAATATTTTTTGAGTGTTTAAAAAGTACTTAAAATGTACTTAGTTCTTGTTGAAAAATGTGGCTACGCACTCTGTTCTATACTACATTCGTGAAGTAATTTGCATCTTAAACGCTTTTGTTCATCCATTCATAAGAAACGTTATAATAAACTTGCTGTACGTTTTTCTATAAAAAAAACGTTATAAAAACAGGCTTTATTTCAATTCTAATTAAAATATTGGGTTATAATCCTTTTGCCGTGGGTAGTTTTCGTGGTTTTTCTTTCCATGGTACGCAAATGCGGCTTAGTTCCATCGAAAACTTTCTCCATGATGATTAGTTTGTCCCAATACTTGTTCCAGGAGCTCCCTTGTCTTCTGGATTGGGTTCAAAATTACAAGACTGCGGCTTTGATTATTACTAGTCGTAAATCCAGAATTGAGTCGGCTGTTTAACGCCGGTCATAATAAAAATAAAATACAAAAAACTTGTTTTATTTTCGAATCTTCTATCATGTTTTATTTTCGAATCTTCTATCATTTTGAGACAGCGGTTTTTTTGTTAGTTTTAACTATATCTTTTTTTCCTCATTAAATAATTCATATTTATGCAGAAATACGTCTTATACGTAATAATCCATATTCCTTAAACAATTTATTTGGAGATCATTCTATAATTTAAGCGTATTTACGTATCCTATTTTTTGATACCCGTTGTAACGTATCAAGCTATATAAATAACAGTTCTGTTTCTTATAAAAAAGCTTTTATTCACAAACAACACAAACAGTAACAAATATCAAGTACCCGGTACGGGATAGTTAAAATATTATAAAACAAACTAGCAAAACCCGTAACTGGTTATATGAAACTCAAATTACAAAACAAAACGAATTTCTAAAACAACTAACAACTCTGTTGCTCTAAAAAAAGTCTTCTAATTTATCGTCTGCTTTTATTTTATTGTTTACCTATTTATGTGTTTATTTTATTTTATTCATGCTTTTGCTAGCCAATTATTTTTTTAAATATTTTTAGACTTTATACCATTATATTTACTTACATCTACAGTTTTTGGGAACATTTCATAGATTTTGGCTTAAAACACATTTTAGTCAAATTTCATTTCTCGAAATTAAAAACAAATATTTTTGGGGCATGCATTTTATGAAAAGTAATTGCCTACCGTCGTTAGATTACCATCAATCTTAAATACGTCACTACATCTCATTCCAGTGACTGAATATACTGAAGTTATCATCAATAACATGTCATATTGATATGATAAATTACGGAATGAAATGTCAATAATCTGAATTGTTTTGTGTATAACTATGGAATTTTTAGTTGATCCACCTGAGGTGACGTCAAATGAAATGAATAGTTCTCTGATGACGGCATTTAATTTTTTCTTGATTTCTCGATTACGAATCAAGAAATTGCATTCTAGAATGTTTGATTCAATCTTAGCAACAAATAAGATTTTCAATTAGTTATTTGTTCAATGATCTTATCTCGATTTCCTAATGAATTGGATAGTGAGTATTCTTTTTTGCTTTTGTTGTTGTTTTTCGTTCATTTGAAGTTTCATTCATTGTGATTACAAAGGTGTTTATCAAAGACTTGAATTGTTTTCGTGCTAATTATAATACATTATTCAGAGATTTCACTTGTTTTTGCGTTACATATGAGATACATATCATAAATTTGTATTGTTTTTGATTTAATTATAATGTTTTTCATAGATTTGGATGGTTTTTGTTTTAGATGAAAGATGTTTGTCAAAGATTTCAATAGTTTTTGTGTTAATTATAAATAATGCGTTTCTTATAGATTTAATTTGTCTTTGCTTTAACACTAGAAAAACTGAACTACCTATATTGCCCAAAAGCAGTCAAAATGACTGCATTGAGAAAGAATAACAAATGTATAAAAAAATTTGTTTAAAATTAATTTTTAATATTTTTGATATTATTTTCAGTTATATAACAAGTTATTGGTAAATATTAACAATAAAAAAATTATATGTTGTACAAAAGGTTACAAAATTCTAAGAAATTGCTTCATCATTGTTTTTCTAATTGAAATAAAAAAGCAGTCAAAATGACTTCCTTGGGCAGTCTAGTGTTAATTATGTTTTTCTCATAGATTTGGATCGTTTTTGAGTCAAACATGATACTGATTTGGATTTTTTGTGCTAAATAAGGCGTAAACATATAATATTTATCGTATGCGTTTAATAACTGTAAACCAGTGTTATTTTGTAAACGTAACAATAAGCATTCAACTCCTGACTTACGAATTGTGTGCTTATTTTAGTATTTAATTTTTTTTTTGTTATTTCAAACAAATTAGCGCAGTTTAAAGGAAATATTTATTTCTAAATTTTCATTAAAATATAACTAAGTCGTAAAATTTAGCGTTTGCAAACTTTGAAAATGTTAGTGTTATGTTAATGTTGAATGGTATTAACCTTGGTACCAAGGTATTACTACCTTACTACCAAGGTATTAACCTTGGTTACTCAATGTGGCTGAAATTAAATGTTTAGCTATGTAGGATTTAATACGTAAAGCAATCGATTTTTATTTCACTAAATCTCTGTATTTAAGCAAAAATTGACTTTTTTATTATTTTTTCATTTTATTTGAAAATTTTGTTCTTTTAAAAAAAATTCTAAAATAATAATTTTTATTAGCTATTTTTTTTAAAGATTACCTTTTGTAATGCATAAACAAATATACTATCAGTTTTATTGAAATTTATAGCCCTAATACTAGCGTTTTTAATGCTATTTGTAGTTTTCAGATTTTATATATTAATGAGCGCTGAAGTATTTAAGTTTAATCCACTCAAATTGTTCTTTTCTCAACAAAAAAAAAGAAAAAAAACTGGTGTATGGTTTTTATTTAGAAGTAAAATTTCAAAATTATTGTGCAGGTAATTTTGAAATGATTTAGTTTTCCTGCTTTTCGATTTTAAATCTGAATTATTCATTTTTTTGAAATGGCATATCAAAGTTATAGATATAAACTATTTAAAACTGTTATGTCAATTATGCATGATGTGAATTTGAAAGTTAACAAAAATGTTTATTACCTTGAAATGTAAAAATTAATATATACTTTAAATTAGATGTACTTTATGCATAAATGTTATCATTAAATTATTTTACTACATTCTGTATAATTTATTTAAATTATTCTTTTTTTTCTTTTCAGAGAAATATGCTGAAGTATCGAAGGTTGCTGTCTAACACACGGCGGCCAGATATCTTCATTAAAGAGCTTAAAGTGAGTGTTTGGTTACTTATTTTAATTATTGAAGAGGCAGAGGTTAGGGGGTGACATGTGAGAAGAATTCAGCTCCCGGCTTGCGCCGCCCACAGTGCTGACGTAAAAATATCCTCAGTGGTAGAAGGATCGCAGGTTAGAATCCCCTTCCCATCGGGCTAACCGTGAGAGGTTTTTGTGCTTTTCCCCTCCATGTAACGCAAATCCGGGTTAGTCTTTTAAAAAGTCCTCTACGATGGCTAGTTTGTCCCAATGCTTGATCCGGAAGTTCCTTTGCCTTCTGGGTTAGGTTCAAAATTGCAAGGCCACGGAGTTGAACATGATTATCGCAAACTCAAAAATTTAATCAACTGTTATAAAATAAAACAACGCCGGTTATAAAATAAAATACAATTATTGAAGAGGAATGCTCTTTTCTGTTTGCACAAATATGCATTTTGAAAAACACCTTTTAATAAATTATTCTGATTTAAAATGATATTTACGGTTTTTATTCTATGTGTAGTTTTTTTCAAGTAGAATTTAATGAAATAATGTGAACCCAAATGTGGTTCAACCGATTAGTTTCAGTGAGTTGGTAAGCTCAAGTTGTGAGTTCATATAATACATCAAAATCTTTCTATTCTGGAAAACTTCTCTACCTTTTTACTATTAACTTTCGAAAGTGTTAGGATTGAATTTTTCGATAGAAATTTCGACCATTTTCTAACTTGTTATGGCACTATTTCGTAAGACTAAATAAGTTGAAATTATTTTTTGATAACATAAAGCAGAATTTATACCAGAATTTTATAGCCAAAGCTGATTTATGGTCAATCAATATTCCTTCTAACAAATATACTCAAATCTCATCTAGAACATACTGCAGAATGGTATTACAAGTTTCAATCTTTTTCTGACCTCAACAAGCTGAATTTAATTCCGCATTATTGCCAAAAGAAATTAAGATATCAGACTTGTTTCGACAACTTTTTTTTAAATATTAGTTAAAATTTTAAACTATTATATATGTTTTTTTATAAAAAATTATAGAACTACCAAAAAATTATTGTTAACACGTTGAATGCCATGGGGGTCAACGGTGATCGGCACTGAGTTTGTTCGTAGCGCCACGGGGGTCACCGGTGACCAGCGAAGCCAAGATTATTAGAAACACATAATTCGAGTAAATTTTAAATTTTTTTTTAAATATTATTATCGTTACTAAAATATTGTGACGAAACTAATGCAATGTAGAACACACAAAAATAGTTTTATTCATATACATAGAGATGCCAACTTGCCCCGGACAACGAATAAATATTTTCAAGTGGTAATTTATTAATTGTGATTTTTGATTTAATAAATTCAATTTAGTAGATTTTTATCCACCACTAAAACTAGCAAAATCTGTCTAATGTTTTCAATTTAGTTTGTAGTTATTTGGCCAGACGGACAAGCGATGTAAAATTAGCGTGGCATTCAACGTGTTAATTTATTCTATATTTTTAATTAGTCATTTTTAGTCAAAAATAAGGCATATTTTTGCATATACACTAAACAATGTAAACAAAAATTCTGTCGCCCTAAGCAAAAAATCCTTTGAAGTTTTTATCTAGAAGGCTATCAACTATGTTTTGAACTAAAATAAGCAAATTTTTAAACATTTCCAAGCGTGTCTTAGCAAAAAAAAAAAAAAAAA